AATTTGTAAGCTGCCCCCTTTCATCAGCTGAGCCAAGCAAATGAAGCAGGAGGCAGAGTTGGTTGTGTTGCTCTGATTCTCGCAGGGCAGGCTTTTACACTAAAACTTGCATCTTAGGCTCTGCAGGCACGTGCATTGAGCTGAACGTACAGATCATACTGGGTTGATTTTACTTGTTTGAATGTAAATTCCAGGCAACTAAACCCTGTGGCTCTGTAAAATGTGTTCATTCCTAGATAGGGATTACGTTCACCAAAAGAAAACATAAAAAATACAGTGCATTAAAAAACAAACAAAACAAAACAAAAAAAACCAACTACATACTGCTTTGATAGACAGATCTGTTTCAGAGAGGCCCAGTTCTGCCCTCAGTAACATTAATTAGAACAACAGAGAGATCCCCAATTGTTTGTCTTCTCGTCAATATCGAGCTAAGCTTTTATCAATTTGAAGCCGTATTAAAAGTGATACATGCTAATTTATAATTGTTGATATTATCAAACCCAAATGATTTGTAACCGTACATAGCTGTGCCAGATTTTTATCACATTATAAAGGTTAACACAAGTGTTACAAGAAACATCAATGAGCTACGCAGACTACGTTTGCTTTTGGTTAGATAAGTATGCTTTGTAGTAGTTGATATTCCCTCTAGATAATGGATATGGGCCAGATTCTCTGCTGACACAAAGCAATACACGGAACATGGAGGGAGATATGCTGATTTACACTAGCTGCAGATCTAGCCCTAATGCCTTTGGATGCAATAACTCCATCTTAAATAACTCAATTTCCTAAATATTACTCAGCCACTCCTCGCTATTGCCAAAAGGGAACTGTGAATGCCAAGCTCTGCAGGATTTTATTTAGCAAAGCTTCTTTCGAGGCATCTATCATTTTGGCACACAAGCCTTGCGCTACGATCAGAATCAAACATTTCCATGAAACAGCAGGATTAATTCTAGAGAAAGAATACCCTGCACTGCTCGCTGTCACCGTGCTATCTGTTCCATCTCCTTCTTTCTATGAAAACAGCCCATCACGTTCCTACATTTAAATACTTTTATGGCTCGATACTGCTGAACCATATAAATAGAATTAAAGGTGTTACAGCATGCAGCTCTTTAAATACTGGATTTCTGATAGCTCACTGATTGTACTTCTGTATTGAGCTGCCTTGGTGAGAAGCTAACAAAATGCAGAGCTACAAGAAAAAACACATTTCTATTTGTTACATAAGCACAAAATTATTTTCCCAACTAGGTGCTGTGCTAAATTATGTTTCCGTGCCCTGACATTAAGCATCTGGAGACAAACAGAACCTGAACCATCCAGCCTAATTTTCCTTTGAGGTTTATCTGTTTTTACTTCCTTTGCTGGATGTCAGCTTATAATAATTACTCTTCTATACACATCTCCAGCACTAATGTGACAGACTGTGAATGCTTCCTGACAATAGAGCATAATATCCTCCTCACAGGCTTCCAACAGCAAGGCTGCGATCCCACCGCTGACTGCATCAACATGCAAAAAAGCCTGACTTGAAACACTGACAAATTCCAAACGGATTTGGTTTCCTGTTTGGAGGACCAGGCAGACTACACATTTCTCAACAAATTCCAAAAAAATAAGATGAAATGTAAAGGGTTTGAGCGCAGCGCGTGACGCCCGTACCCGAGTGTGCCTGAGCAGCAGGAGCAGGAGCACAACTTTGAAGTGTCTGTAAATTATGTCAGAGCCTTTGAAAGGCAGCAAAAGCGTCAGGGTGAAATCCACCGCCAAGAAATGTTGCTTACAAAGACAGGCTACCCATATCAACATTCAGCAGCGTTCCCAGCATTTTTGTGAGTATGACAAACTACACGTGTCTGTGACACGGGAGCAGACAGGGAACCGCGCTGCGGTTGGCAGAAGCAGCCGGGATCTTTTTGGTTCTGCATTCGGCACCAAAGGTGAGCACCTTTCATGTAGGCCTCGACTGTAAACCTTTGAATTTGGCCAGGGTCAGGGAGCTCTGTCTTGAGAAGGAGCAAATGTCTTATAACTGTGGAGCTCCGTTTCTCTGTGACAGAAAGAGAACGACTGACAATTCAGTAAATGCAGTAATTTCCCTTAATTAGTAGGACGCTAGGATGTGTTAAAATGCACAAAAGGACAAAGCTGCTCTCCCCGAGGATGTGTTGCCCAGCACATGGCAGTGATGCTTGCTTACACTTCCAAACCATTGCACCATTTTATGACCTGCTTTTGATGCGATCTTAGATAACGTAGAAATTCTCCTTGTGAGTCATTTCTACTTGATATATAAAATATAAATTAAAGATATCTTTGACAGTTCGATCTGATACGCATTCTATAAATAAAGGGACTTTTCTAACAGGCGAGATTTCTCCATACTGTTAGAAATCAGGAGAGCTACGATATGAGAAAGAAGCAGCTCTTCTCTGCTTGTCTCTGTTCCTGAGCACTTAAAGAAGGAATGAAACATTAACAGCTTAAAAGTGTAGAATTTAAGCGAGCCTATAATTTAAATGTGAAAGCTGCCAGTTCTTTTAAAAATATAGATTTTTTAATAGAGAGATATCTCCTTTTTATAAGAGATTTGAAGTTTGGACAAAGAGAAGACAGCACCAAGTCAGAGAGAAGGAAATCAAAAGATAAATGGAGAAACCCTTCTTGATTTATTTTCCCTAAATTAATGTCACATAAATTCCAAAAATGCCACCTAGCAGCAAAAATGTTTTTCAAATTGAATTTAAAATCAGAGATATTAAATTCCTGATCAAAACCATATTCAGTTTCTATGGGTTTTGCCTCACCGAAATAAATTAAGCTCCTTCACATATTTAATTAAAAAGTTAATTTCCTGAACTCCTCACTTAAATCAGAACTGTTTGTGAGCAAACACTGAATGCTTTATTGAGCAGTCCCTGTCTGCAGCCAAACAAGGCACTGCCTGCAATTCAGACATGCAAGACAAACCTGGGAGCATAGCATCTTCCTGGAAGGCTATGCTAAGCACTGCACTTTGCCTGGGCAGGAGGGCTGCCTACAAGGACTGCATCAAAGAAATGGACCTCACTAGGGCTTGGCTCAGAGCAGGAGCTTCTTTGCTGCCTTGCACGTTGGTACCAAAGACATGTAAGGAATTCTCCTGGGCCTTTTGGGTCTGTATGGTCCTTTTCTTTGATGCTGTGACACTATCAGGGTCTGAAATGTCACTATAGAGTCTTTCCTTCAGAAATCAATCCAGCAAGAAATACAACCTGTAGTAAATAGTTACTTAATGTGTTTCTCTGACTCAAACATTTTTTTTTCTTTGTAGAATCCATACATTATTATAAAGTAGGCTCACTGCTGACCTAAACCAAAGGTTCTGGGGACAGCCCACTGCTCTGGAGCTGAAACTCCTTGAAGTCAGTAACGATTTTGTATAAAATAAGTGCTAGAAACACCATCTTACGTTACCATCTTCTAACTCTGTAAAAACCAATATACAGGAAAAAAAGTGCAGCTCTGGGAGTTTTCAGAAACGCTTATGGCAACTCTGAAATTTTAGGAATTAAAATTTCCTGACACACAAAATGATTTCCTTTCCCTTTGGACAGCTGCTTTATTTTTTTTTTCTGAGCAATGAAGAACAAGCTGGAGAAACAGCAGCCTGCATGGAGCGGGGTGGTTTGTTTCACTGATTAATTAATATTCAAGTATTAATGAATTTCCTTTGTAGTTTCTTTATTTGATATACACTCCCTTCCTCTTAGAAATGATAATGAGCAGAGTTTAGAAGGTGCAAGCACTGCACACGAGTGGTGAAATCTGCTCAGCCTGACAGCGTGAATGCGTCGTGTTCCTTTTGGAGGGGGGAAAGGGGAGAAGAAATCTTGCTGGGAGGTGGGGCAGGGGAAGTGAAAGCACAGATCTGCTGATGAAAATTATTGAAAGGACCGATGCGGACTGTGCAGCGCTGTGAGGAATCCTTAACAGATTAATTTGTCTTTGAAGCTAGATTTTAATTTATACATTTCCACACGCTGTCGATATGAGGGAGGAGATTTCCGTGGCGTGCAGCCATGCCACGCGTGCACACTTCTGACGTTTTTTTATTACGATCCTGTTTCACAGCCGCGGTCTCTGCACCTTCGTAAATCCACGGCTCTGAGCTTTGTCCTCTCCTCCATTTTATGGTTTTTCTTCTCCTCCATTTTATGTCTTTTCTTACGTGTTGTGTCTCTATGTGACAGCGGTGCCACGGGACGGAGGACGGCCGCTCCCGAGCCCACCTTGCCGCCGTCACGCCTTCCCGGTTCCTGGCAAAACGCAAATCCCCGGAATGCCGTCCGCCGGGCTCGGCGCTCCGTCCGCGGACGCAGCGGCACCCATCGCTACGCCGAAGCGTCGGAGCGGCGCGGCGGCAGCGCAGCGCGCACCGAGCGGAGCCGTTCGCCTGGCGGTGCCGCGAGGCCTAACGCGGACACACGTGGGGCGCGCCTCGGAACCGCGGGCCCGATCCTGCGGGCGCCGGGATTTCCTCTTCTCCTCCGCCCGAGCACGGCTGAGAGCCGAGCTCGGAAATTCACGTTTTCACCCACTGACGGAGAACCCCGCGTCCGAAACGGGACCGCCCCCCGCCTCGGCGCCGAGCTGTAACGAGCGCGCACGCACCGAGCGGGGAAGCTGAGGTGCAGAACGGGAGCGCTCCAACACCACAAAGGGAACGCCGTATTTACGCTGCACGTATTTGGCCGCGTTTGCCCGCAGCCGGCCGGCGTCTCCCTTCCCTTCGCCGCGTCCGATCTCCGCGACACGCCGCCCGCCCCGCCGCCCGCCCCGCGCGCCCGCCGCCGCCCCGGGCGGGAGGAGGCGCCGCCAGCAGAAGGCTCGGCGCTCGGCGCTCGGCGCTGGGGCTCCGCTCCCCGCCCGGCGGCGCCTCCTCCCGCCGGTGGCGCAGCCGCGACGGCTCCGCCTCAGCGGCGGCGGTCACGTGGGCGCGTGTCGAAGGTCACGGCGCCGCAATGGAGCTGTCGGCGTACGCGCAGGGCGGCTGCCGGCTGCTGGGCGACCCCCGGCGCCTGTCCCGCCGCGCCTACGCCGCGCTGCTCCGCGCCGCCTTCCGAGGCGTGCTGCAGCCCCACGGCGGCGTGGGTGAGCGGGAGCGTGCGGCGGGGCTCTGCGTGGGGCGGCGGGGCCGGGGTTAGGGGCGCGTGCGTGCCTATGGGGCGCGTGCAGTCGGGGTGTCCGTGCGTGCCGGCGTCGGTGCGTGCGTGGGGCTGTCCGTGCGTGCGAGTGCCCGTGCACGCGAGTGGGCGTATGTGCACCTGGGGCTGTCTGCATGCACGTGGGGGTGTGCGTGTATACAGAGCCACGTGCATGCGTGTGTGCGTCCACATCGGGGTGTGCATGCTTAGAGATGTTTGTGCGTGCATACAGAGGAACGTGCAGGCATACAGGTGTATGTGCACACACATGAAGGTGTGCTTGCACATGGGTCTGGGCGTGCACGTAGGGGTACCCGTGCACGTTGGTGCTCGTGCATGCACGTAGGTGCGCACACGGAGTTATGCGCGCACATAGGTGCTCGCGCGTGCACGTGGGCACGCGCGTACCGCGCCACCGGCGGTCCCGGGCCGTCCCCACCGGCCGGACCCGTCCCGCGGCCGCCCCGCGCCTCCGCCCGCTGAAGCTTTTGCCGCGTCCGTGCCGCGCCCCTCCGCGTTTCTCCCCGAGTCGGGCTCGGGGCTGGGGGCAGCCGCTGCCGCCCGCGACCCCGATCAGAGGAGTGGAGCCGGGCCGGACGCGGCTCCGGGTCGCGGAATGGAGCGTGCGGCGCGGGGCAGAAGCGCCGTCCCGCGGGCGAGCGGCGGTGTCGGCAGCCCCGCGTCTCCCGCAGCCGACCCCGAGCTGAGCGACGTTGACCCCGCGGTGCTGAAGCAGTGCCACGCCGCCGCCGCCGCCTGCATCCTGGAGGCGGGCAGGCAGAGAGCCGACCGAGCGGCCCTCAGGTACTGGTACCGCCCGCCACGGCCCCGGCGACGCCGCCGCACGGCGCCGGAGCTGGCGGGGCTGTGTGTGTGTGTTGGGGGCTGCCCATGGCCGTGTGTCCTCCCGCAGCGCGTGCCTGGAGGAGTGCAAGCTGGACAGGGAGCGGATCGAGCAGTTCTGCACAGAGTACCAGGTCTGGCGCTCTGCTGTGACGTGTTGGTGTTTTCTTTCTTCTGTAGCAGTCGCTTCACATTTTGCAAATGTATTTTGCTCTCGCCTTTCTTTTTTTTCCTTTTCTCCAGAAAAACCGGGAAGCACTGGAGGAGCTGCTGGGGAGGTAGGTGGGCACAGGGCCGCAGGAAGGGCTGCTCCAGCACTGCATGGGGAGCACCAGGCACACTTCCCCTCATCCACATCAACAGTAATGCTTAACTTTTTTTTAATTACCATTTTTTGTTGCATTTCTAACAAACCTTAGAAAACAGCTGTAGAAACTTGCCCCCCTCCTTTCCATATTGCCCTTTAAGTCGCTGTGACCCATTGGAGCAGCGTTGCGTGCCGCAGGCAGGCAGTGTGGGCTCAGCCCTTCCCGCATCACCCTGTCTCTCTCCCAGCATAGGCCGGGCCCCCCCGCATGTGACGGACGTGTCCTGGCGCCTGGCGTACCGCATCCAGGTAAAGGTGGGGGCACAGGGTTTTGGGACCCCCCCGCTGCCCTGGCCCTGCTGTGCTGAGCACTGTTCTACCACAGACCCACGAGCTGCACCGAGCCTACCAGCCCACCTACCTGCTGACCCTCAGCACCGAGGTATGCGCTCCTCACACCTCTCCCAAGGAAGAATTGCCATTTATGTCATTTTGCAGTAAAGCAGCCTGCTTTGGTTTTGTTCCCTACAGAACAGTGACACGGGAGCACAGCCAGACCTCAGCTTCAGCTGCACCATGGAGCAGTTGCAGGTACCTCCCCNNNCCCCCCCCCCCCCCGTTTCTCTGCTTGGTTCCCACTCTGGATGGCAATGTCTCTTAACACTTTTTTCAGTCACGATTAAATGGTACATATAATTATTAAAACAAACAAACAAACAAAAAAAACCAACCAACCAACCTCACCAAAAACAACAGGCAGGAGGGAAGGGGAGAATTTGCTGTGCAACACTTCTGGTCATGGTCTTCATTGAAGTTGTGAAGTGACTGATTTCAGTGGTATGTGCTGCTTTCTGTACACTCATAGATAGCGGGTGTGCTGTCACACTCGTGTTTGGGAGGGAATGCATCACTTCCCCAAAACCCTCATCCCAGTGGTTCAGGGAAGCTGCTGAAGGAAGCAGCTCAATGACATGTCATGTTTCCAAGTAGGGAATGAACTGAAGCCAATGTCAGTGTGTAGGCGACACACCAGCAGTGTGATGAAGCAAACACTGAGCTCTGCTCTGTGGTTGCATCTGTGCAAAAGGGAATGAACTGGAGGCTCTGGGAGGCATCTTTGCCAGTGCCTGCGTTTGGATTGATGGCTGCCCCAGGCAGGGCTGGCACTTGGGGTAGTCCCTGTGCAGAATGGTACTCAGGGTATTTTCAAGGTGGAAGAAGTGCTTATGGTGCTCAGAGCAGCAGTGCGCGGCAGCCATTGCAGCTGTACTAATGTGCTAAGGACAGCAATGTATGTTAGTAGGTCATATATGTTACAAGGCATTGTCCTCCAGTTCCAGCATACCACCCTATTTTACAGCAGAAAAAGTGTAAGAAAGGTAATTATTTGCTTGTATTGTTCGATGGACGAGGGTGAGCTCTGGGATATCCCATCCTGCTATGCGCAGAGGGCACTGTGGCACCACGTGCTGAGCTTTCCAAAATTCATTCTGAGGTGTTCCCTCTCCCAGGATTTGGTCGGGAAGCTGAAGGACGCTGCCAAGAGCCTGGAGAGAGCAACACAGCTGTGACCGAGGGCAGCCGGGCACTGCGTGAGAACATTCCCAATGGCAAACGCCCTTCTGTGCACATCTCTATGCACGTCTCTTGATCCAAACCATTTCTGTAGTGATTTCTAGATGTGAATTAAGCAAACTGTTGGCATGGAATATGCAGTCAGTATTCCTCGCTCCTGTTATATTTTCTTGAAAATTAACTCTTCAGTTAAATACTGCCTCAACCGTTGTATCTGCAGAGCATCTTTTACGCCGAGCATTTTCTTTCGGGTTCCATTAAAGTCGATTTTCCCTTCCCGTACCGCCTGGGCTCAGCTCCGCACACTCGAGGACGCGGTGCCGGCGCGGGCCGCGGCAGAGCCCTGCCTCCTCCCGGGACACCGCACGCCGACGGCCGCCCCGCGCTCCGCGTTCCTCTTGGGCCGATCCCGGAGCCCGACGGCGGCGCTCCCCCTCCCTCCCGTCCGGCGGTGCCCCCCACCCGCACCTGCCGCCGGGGGGAGCGCGGGCGCCGCGGGACGGGTCGGGTCGGGCCGCCCCCGCAGGGAGGCGCGGAGGGGGCCCCGACGGAGGGCAGCGGGCCGGCCCCGGCGCAGCCCCGCTCCGCGCTGCGGGGCTCTGCCGCCTCCCCCCGCCCCCGAGGGGCCCCGCGCGGCGCTGCCCCACGCGTGGGCGCGGGAGGGCCACGCAACAAGTGCGGCGTGGGGGGCCCCGAGGAGGGCGGGGGGGGGGGGGGGGGGGGGGGGGGGGGGGGGGGGGGGGGGGGGGGGGGGGGGGGGGGGGGGGGGGGCGGCCGGGTGCGGGATTGGGTCACGGGGAGGCGGCCGGCCCCGGCCGCACCGCCGCTAATTCCCAGGCCACCCTTAAGGAATGAGGAGCCCCACGTGACGCTGGCGGGGCGGGCGAACTCCGAGCCATTTTGGGGACGGTGTCAGTTTCCAGTGTGTGCCTTCAGCCTCGCGTTTTTCCCTCCTCCGCCCTCCCTCCCCCGTCCCCCCGCCACCAACTATGAAATAATCATAATAAAAAAAAAAAAAAAAACGGCGAGCGGGCGGCGGAGCGGGGGGGAGCGGGCGAGACAATGGGCCGGAGCGGGCGGCCCCCGGCCGGCTGAGCCCGGCGCGGCCCCGCGCGGCGCCGAGGGAGCGCCGAGGGTCGGCGGAGCGGCGCGGACACGGCGGTCCCGCGGGCGGCATGAGCGGAGCGCCGCGGCGGCGGCGTTGGTGCGCTCCTCGCGATTGACAGCGTCTGCAGTTCATTTCAAGATGGCCGCTTGGCTCACATTCATTTTCTGCTGAACGACTTTTAACTTTCATTGTCTTTTTCGGCCGCCCCGATCGTCGCCCGCCGGCTCCCTTTTCCGGGTACGTATGCGGCGGGGTGGCCCCGGGCGGGCGGGGGGCGCCGGGGGGCGGCGGGCGCGGGGCGTCCCCGCTCGGCGCGGTACGGAGCGGCGCTGACAGCCCCGCGCCCGCCGCACGCGCGCACACACACACGGCGGCGGCGGCGGCGGCGGCCCGGGCGGCCGCTTTCGTTACGCGCCCACGGCGCCCGATTTTAGTTCCTTTCTTCCCCCCCGAGCCCCCGAGCGGCTTCGGGCGCGCACGGCCCCCGAGGAGAATATTTGTATTTGCGGCCCCCGCTGCCGGCCCGGCCCCGGCGCCCTTTGTTTAAAGGCAGATTTTGACGGAACGGGGACGATCGCGAAGCGCGGAGCCGCCCGGGTCGAGCGAGCGCGGGGCTCTCGGCGATCAACGCGGCCGGGGGGGGCGAAGGGGCCCCCGAGCGCGGCCGTTTTATAGGGACGGGGCCGTTGGGGGGCGGCGGTCCCCGCGCGGGGGCTGTTAGGCTGCGGGCCGCCCCGCACCGAGTGTTATTAACTTAAGTTGGGCGAGCGGCGGGGCAGAGCGGGCGGCGGTAAGATGGCGGTCCCCGGCTGCTCCCGGCGCCTCTCTCCCGGCCGTGCTGAAAACGGCGAAGTTTGGGGTAACCCCGCTGCGAGGGGCGGCGGGGGGGGGGCAGTGTCGGGACCGAACTTTTTCTTTTTTTCTTTTTTTCTTTTTTTTTTTTCGTAGTTTTGGGTTGAGCTCGCGGTTTTGAGTGTGGGCTTAAGCGGAGCGGTGTGCGGGGTGCGGAGCCCCGGAGCGGAGGGACGGAGCCGCGGACGGGGCCGCGCTCGATCGAGGTTTCCTTCTCTCGGGCCCCGGAGGGGACCACGCGTGCAGCCCCGCCGGGTGCGGCGCCGCGCGTGGGGCCCCCGACGGCCGCGGGCGGACGGCTGTGGAGATGTGTGCGGGTGCGTGGCCTGGCGGAAAATACGCGCGGGCAGGGGCCGTGGGGCGTTGTCAGTATTTGCGAAAAATCAGGTAAAAATAAAGGGGAAAAAAAAAGCGCGTTTCTGTGGAAGTCGGAGAGGCGCTTTTCAGCTTTTAGAAACTTTGCTCGCTGCTCCGCTCCCCACGAGGCTCGGGGACCCGGCCGGCCGTGTGCCCGTTCCCGGCCGGGAAATGCTGGGAGCACCGCTGCGAGCCCCGTGCGTTCCGAGCAGCCCCGGGGGGCCGTCCCCGGGATGGGGGCTGCAGCCCCGCGCCGTGCCGAGCGCTGCCCCGGCCGTCCCCGGCGCACAGCGAGCACCTCGGGGCGGTTCCAGGGGACACGCTGCGGAGTTAACGCGGGGCCACTGCGGCTGCTTGAAGGACGGGTCCTTTTCCTCTCTATCCCGGTTGTTCCCTGGCTGCAGGGCGAGGACTCGGAGCCCGCGCGGGAAGCCCTGTCCCGTCCCTCCTCGAAGCACCGCGGGGGCAGAGCGGGGCGGCCCGGCCAGGGGCTGTCCGTGGGCTCCGTCGGGGACCGTCGGGCAGAGTTCGGGAGTCGGTTGCGTTTATGGATTTGTGATAATGCCGCTGATCTTGAGCAGGGGAGTACTCTTCTGGCTTTCTTCATTTTGACATCACCCGTGTAAGGCCTCTCAATAATCGGTTGCGGGCAGTGTGTGCTGCCGGCGGGTGTTATCTCCTTGTGTTTGGGTCGGGCCGCTCTATGTGTCGGGGTTAAATACACTCGTGTTGTCCCGGCCCGGAGCTGCCGGGTGACCTCGTCAAGCGCTACCAGCATGGGATGGAAAAATCCAAAGGGGTTTCGCTGCTGCCCAAATGCAGGGCTGAGGCTGAGGCTGCATGCGCGCGTGTGCGTGGGGCCGGTGCGCGGGGCACGGACCGATGCCGGTGGTTGTTTTGTCGGGCAGGGATTGAAGGGTGACACAGTGCTGACACGGGCGGTGAATCTCTCGCGTTGGGGGGTGGTCGACAAAACACATTTCAGGGTTAATTCAATCCTCTTCCATTTATGAAGGAGTGAAATAAATGCGTCGGTGTATTGAAAAGTTGGTCCCAGAGCGCCAGGGATGGGCAGAAATCCTTGCTCAGCTTCCTGCTGAGGTTACTCCGGGCGGTTGGGAACGGTGAGCACTGAGCGGGCAGAGCCAGAACCGGGTGGGCAGCGCGGCAGGGCGCTGTGTGCCTCCGGCATAGCAGCTCTGGGTGCCGCTTTGGGAGTGCGGAGCGGAGAGTCAGGGACCCTGGAAGAGCCATTCACGTGGAACACAGCGGGGCGGGCTCCCGTTTTGCTGCCCGATGTAGGGGCAGCTCTAAGGAGCCGGGGTGTTTGCACGCTTCGCTTTTCTCTGTGCCTGTTCGCTCCGGTTTGGTACTGGGGAGCTCGTTTGGAGCTCCTCCTGGAGCAGCAGCAGCAGAAGTTTCCGTGCCGAGGTCGCTCGTTGGCGCTGTGCGCTGTTCTCGGGCAGCGCCGTGCCCGGTCCGGGGCAGCGTGGCCGAACCGCGGAGCCCACGGGAGCGCCGCGCGTGCCCTTCTCGCTCTGTGCGGTGCCGGAGCAGCGCCCCGAGGGGCGGCGGCTCCGCGCGGGGCCCGGGGAGCGGCGTCGGGTGCGAACTGCGAGTAGGGGGCGGCGCCGGGGGCGGGAGGGACCCGGTGCCGGGCGGCATTGCTCGGGTCCGGCGGGCAGAAGGCGATCTGCCGTGCCGCTGCCGGGGCCGGTGGAGCGTTTTCCCGCGGAGCGTTTTCCCCTCCGGTTCGCGTTCCCTCTCGTTTTCAATAGTAAGTCTGCATGGAACGTCGGTGCCGCTGCACCCGATAGGCTTTATGGGTTTCAGGCTGTGAAGATGACATTTGTTTTTCGCTCCCGTCGCCGCGTCGTGTTGACAAGGTGTTGATTTAGCTTTAGGAATGGTCTGGTCACATGGTCCCTCGCGTGTTGTTACGGAGGTACCGTTTAAGGTCGGTTCGGGCTTTGTGTTTCCCCCCCCCCCCCCCCCCCGGTGCGCCTCTTCATAACCCAAAAAAAGGAGGGTTGTAAGGACCGGGACGCGTGTTCTGCCCCATCCCCTCGCCCGGCGCTTCGAGCCTCCGACCCGCTCCCGCGGAACTTCGCCCCGGTCCACTTCGGCCGCGGGAGGCGTTCAGATGAGCCTCAGATGAGCCTCAAAAGAGGGGGGAGAGAAAGACAGAGCGCTGCGGCGGGCAGAGGAGAGGAGTGGCGGAGGCAGGCAGAGAGCGGAGGGGCCGCGGGCGCGGTGCCCGGCGCGGGAACGGGCGGGGAGCGGCGGGGGCGAGCGGCGGCTCAGCGCAGCTCCTCGCCCCGAGTCGACGTGGAGAGAGAGAGGCCCCCGCGAGGATCCGAAATGGCCGAGGCTCGGGAGGAGCCTCCCGCGCTCGCCTCGGCCCGGCTCGGCCCCGCACCGCGCCCGCGCCCCTCGAGGCCGAACCCCCCCCAACGCCCCCCTTCCCCGGCGGCTCCCGCCCCCCTCCCGCCGCCCTCCCCCTGCCCGCCCTTCCCTTCCCCTCCCCTCCCGCTCGTCCCCTCCCCTCGCCGCCGGGCTCCCAGACCCCCGCGGGCCGCTCTTCTCCTCCACCCCCTCCGCCAGCCCCCGGGCCCCGCGTCCCACCCCCCGGCCCGGCTCGGCTCGGCCCGGCCCGCCCCCCCGGCCGCCCCCCCGCCCGGCTCTCGCGTGTTCCCAGCGGTGGCAGGATGCCAAGTGTAAGTGTAAGTTGCTATAGCAACCCCCTCGGAGAGCGGAGCGGATCCGGATCGGCACCGAGCGGCAGCCGCGGCCGCCCGGACCCCCTCGCGGCCCGGCCCCGCCGCCCGGTGCCCGGCCCCGCCGCGAGGTGCGTGTCGCCCCCCCGCCCTCCCCCCGCCTCCCCTCCCCGCTCTCCGGAAATGCCAGGGCAGCCGCACCGGGAGGCGCTGGTTCCCCTTTGTGCTGCTCGCCGGCAGCCCGGTGCCCGGCCGGCCCCGCCGAGCTCCGCGC